TATTACTCCAACTAATCAGTCCCTCTTTAGAGACTTGTTGGGGTAGAAACTAGATGGATTTTTTTCTATTCAATGCCATGTCTTGTTACAATTTGCAACAATCTTCGTGAATTTCACTGGAAATTAAACCATAACATCCTGTACACAAATGCTATGCTATATCACTTTCAATCACCTACAATCACCTCTGGTACATCTCTTTTGTGACTGTCAAGTGGTGCCCGATATTTGGAGAAGATTTTATGATCACTGGGGTCAACGTTGACAGTGCCCTTGGCACTTTCAGCAAAACAGATTCTCCATGGTGATGAAAGTTTCTCGAACCTTTTGAACCATTTAATTATAATTTTTAAAAAGTGTATCTATACAAGCAAAATTAAGAAAGAATTACCATCCTTTGTTGCCATTAAAGCTGAAATTAGTTATATAAGAAAGATAGAAAATATGATTTATATAAGAAAAGAAACCACGTTATTGTTTCTAGAAAAATGCAATTCAATTTTGCACCATAAGACATGCTTCCAACGTTACTTCTATGTTTTGGTAGTGAACCCGTTAATATGTACGGCCTTAATTGTTTTTTGTTTCGTTTTGTTTTCTTGTCAAGCCTTTGAGGGATTAATGAACAGAAAGTGTTATTATTATGTCAATTGCTTTATGCAAATTTTATAATAAAAGAAAATATCAAAAAAAAAAGCGACAACTGGAATATAATGCAAAGCCAAACAGGTTTGTTTTCCAAATATCATGAATATTTTATTAAAAACTAGAGTCAAATTCTATATTTAGTCGTCTTTCAAAATTACAATGATGTATTTTTTATATTTTATCTAATAAAAAATAAAGATATTAAAGAAATAAACATTGATTGATGTTGCCAAAAAATGCAAACAACTGAAAAAAACCCATATCAGATAGACACACATTCCTATGTTACCTCAAATACTATTACATTATTATGATGCATAAAATATCAAACGTTAAGCTGATTGTATAGAAACTTTCACTTTGCAATAACCTAACAATAACATGGTCAGAGTTCATTCAATACAATACCTTTTCCATGTCATTCAAGATAAGGCAAAACAGGAAATTGAAGAATGACTGACTGAAAAATTAAATATTTTCCAAAGTGTACATATTTAATAATTCACAGTGAGGTGGCATTCAAATTAAAAAAACAATGCGTTTAAGAATTCTTGCAAACTGTGAAGCAATTGTAACTTCACAATAGAACATATTGTTCGAGTCGATGTGAGGATGTTGATATAGTATCTAATAACTTTGATTATTAATCACGCGTATAATGGTATAGCGGAAATAATAACTCTTCATAAAATAGCACATTGATTGAATCAATGTGAAGACGTTTGTTATACATTTGATTAATAATTACACGTATAATGCTATAGTAAAAATAATGAATACAACTCTAGATAATAAAACGAAAATCGCACAGGGAAAATACAAGTTCATAAACATACATAGACAATACATTATACAAAATGAAGGTGATCAATAAGCAGATAAGTGTACACATCATGTCCTGCAATGGTCAGAGTCATTTAGATCGCAGATGTATATAAAGACCAATTACCAAATTCGAGTGGTCAAATGCTAATGATATTGATCAACATGTCAATAGCTGAATCTCACACGAATGACTTATGTTCTCATAATCTGCATTCAACCGGGGATGTTATATTTCATCGCATTTTGTTATATCTGTGTTTATTTGTTTTCTCTCATTTGGTATGTATATTAACTATACCAACTTATTAGGTCAACAGCAACATTTTCATTCCATCATATACCAACCATACAATATACAATATATAGGGCATATATATCAACTACATATTTAAGTGAGAACTTATTCTTCCCAGTGATCAATATAACGGCACGTTGTCTCGACATGTTAAAAAGTTATTTTACAAGCCGTTAAATTATTCCCCCAAATTATTACTATTTTAGAAATTTAAGGCGTGTACACTAATATCTTATTTGAAATCGATATTTTTGGTAGGTGTGTGTCCTGGGGTAATGTGTGAAGACGGTATCTGTGTAGGTGAACACCGTTTGTGTGATGGGCACATGGACTGTCATAGTTTTTATTCAGAAGATGAAGATCCTGATTTATGTAGAAATCGTAAGTGAAGACATTTTGAAGCTGTTCACCTCTAAGTGCATTTTGTACAAGCACATACAGCATAATTTCCTAGAAACCCACAATGAAAAGGTTTCACATATTTGATTTTTACAAAACTGGATAATTCTTATACCCAACGAAGCTAGGACAACATACTATCGAACACTGCAGTTTTACAAAAATCTGTATTTTGTACTAACCACATAATCTCTACTCAATTTATATCCAAATACAATTTATCGTAATCCCAATAAAATGTTACATAACATCGCCATAAAACAAAAGTAAGTGAACTAGATGAGTATTTATAACAAGATTACACACTCAATTTGTTAAGTTGGTACTGTTAAATGAGGATATTGGCATAACTAAATTACTCAATCACTTTCACATACACACTATTAGTTTTGACTAATTATTATTTATCAAGCGTTGCACTATTTTACCTTAGCACAATAAAAGACATGTTGCTTTGGTTACAACACTCAATAGTTAAATCTCTTTTGCACTCTATATAATAATTCAAAGATTATATATGTCATGTGAAATGTCAGTCAATTTAAAGTTTTCCTGTGTTTGCAGTCTCAAACAGGATCCATGATCCATTTTAGCAACTTAGCACATGTTCATTTGTCATGGAAGCTGTTTCACATATATTTGTTTCCGCGAAGCCAAATAAACCTCAATGCTTTATATTATTTTATTTTCTTCTGCAGTTTGTAATTAGGCTCCGCCTGTAACATTTACACATGAATGAATAAATGAAATGAAACTTTCATTGCACAGAGGCATATCTGCTCATCTACTTACATATATTGTTTCTTTATACCAGAAAGGGTCCCCAATGCATTGCAGCATGTATGTTAAATGAATTTTACACTAATTTAAACAATACCTTTTAATAGGTACATGTGATGGGTTTAAATGTAATAATGGCCAATGTATTAATGAGCTCCTCGTCTGTGATGGGAAATATGACTGCTACGAGGAAGATGATGAAGATCTTGATTTATGTACAGATAGTGAGTATTCGTTATATATTTTCTATCAATATCAGTTATTGTGAATTCAGTGTTTCGGTCAGAGGGCGGGTTTGCATCATTTGATGCAACAAAATAAATATTCTCCTTCAAATATGAATGTACTGATATCATTATCCGAAAGTATTGCAGTGATGCGAGTGTTTTAAGCCACAAACGACGTTTTATGTAAGACAAGGTGTGGCAGTTACTACGAGTATGGCAGGCACTGGTAGAGATGTCGACATCACCGAAGAAAATATTCTAATCGGAGCATACAACACGATGATACGAACAAACCGGTCCGCAAATAATAGAAAGTCCTAAATTTCAGTGATGAGTGGCTACAAAAACCACACTATTCACAATAGTTGATCACAATGACACAGAAATTATCTGTAGATGATGTCAAGACACCGGAAAATCAAATCCGTTTACAGACACGCATAGCGGCGGATGCTTTGATTTTCAGACGTTCACTCTGGAAAAAACATTTGCAATCTCCAAGAAATTGAAAGTGACAAAAAAGAAACAATTATATAGACATTATTGTTACAATTATTGCATTTCAAGGAATACAGTCGCTGGGAAAATTGAATTCTGGTCAATTAAACAGTTTTCGAGAAAAAAAATGTGTTTTAATCATATGCAAGAATGCTAATATATGATTGACACTACTACCTCCGTTCACCATCAAAATCCATTAACCGATTTCCGATTGTGTCTCGATTCACGTTTAGGTTGGCAAGACCATATACCCCTGCATACAATTATTTTGTCAACAATCTGGTGCTTGACAAAGACAAAAATTCTGGAGGTAATGACCATCTAATTATGCTCTGATTTAGGTCACTTTCGGTGATGGTGTCATGATTTATATTTCAGCCTAACGGTGGTTGCCATGGCATCTACTGATAGGGGTTAAACGACGAGGTCAGTCAGTTTGACAGTGGTTGCCATGACATCTACTGATAAAGGTTAATGACAAGGCCAGATGGCAAGCTAGTCGAAATCAGCCAAAGACATCTTATGAGTCTGTAGTTTTAAAAGATTACAGTACAGTAGCTGTAATACTAAACCAATCTTGTTTGCGATTCTAACTAATGTGGTATCTTTGTGGAATGTTATTGAAAGACTATTACCCCATAAATATTAGTTAGTGTTGACAATATAGTAGTGGTTTTCTAAATAGCTTGACAATTAATCAATTGATTATGATGTGTAAAACTTTCATGTGATTGGTTGGTTGTTTTAAGGCAAGGCCTTGGAGTCTCTTATACTGATTGTAATTGGTTAAGGAGTGACAAGAAATAAAGAGTGATTTAATGCTGTCTCGGGTGAAAACCAGGGACTTAGCTGAGAATCGTTTGGAACATGAATGGAGCTTGTGTGTGTTTCTTGTGAGTCTAGCGTGGAGAACGACCGAATCCCGGTTACCTAAGTGAAAGGTTTTTAAACATCAAAAATACCTATCACACGTGGTGGCTAACCCTTGGGCATTGTGTTCAACACAAAAATCATACTGTGAACACTGTATGATTACAAGACAAAAGACACATATAATGGAAGGAATCCGTGAAGTTTTAACAGATCATCTTGGACAAATGACACAAGCTATTGCTGGAGATCAAAGAATGACACAACAAGCAGTAGAAGGAATACAGGAAGTTGTGGAAGATCTTCAAAATCGTCCAACGCCTGTCAACATGGGAATCGGGCCAGCCCCGTTTAAAGGTAAACAATCAGAGAATGCGACAACCTAGTTACAGAGATTTAATGCTTATGCAGACTTTACCCAACTGCCGAATGATAGAAAAGCTGCAGGTTTCAGGATGTTGATGACTGGCCCAGCCGAGATGTGGGTAAATGAATTGCCAGCCCAAGTAAGAGATGATTATGAAGCTTTGACGGCGGCCTTTATTGCATATTTTGAAAACGCCGATTTAGTCTGGATACTAGAACAAGAACTGTCTGAGCGAAAACAGGGAGCCGACGAATCCGTGGAAGATTACTCAGCAAATATCAAGTCGCGTTGTGCCCGATTTCGTAAAACATCCGAA